TTTTTTTTATATTACTTGTTTTTTATTTAAGTTTAAATTCATTTGTCTTTAAGATATAAAGAACAATTTTTTTTAAAGAAAAATAAGTATTAAGCTTGAAGGAAGTTCTATTATTTGTCACAAAATTTTATATTTACAGCTTTTTGTTGTTGTAATTGTTAAATTTTTGGTTGTTAAAAATATCTGCAAGCTTCCAACTTACGTGATTCTTAAACTTCAGTTACTTAATTTTTACTTAGATTCTTCAAAACGTTTTGGAAACACAAGAAATTTTGTTAAGTATTTAACTAGAATAACTTTCAATCATTATTACTTCCAACACGTATATTACGTTTTTAACTAATTTCTGAATGATCTATGTTTTATTCAACATTACTAAATGCATTAAGGGTCAAAACTAAAATTTAAAACTAAAGATTAGATTGTTTTCGAAGAAAAGCTAATTTTTATTTTGTTTTTGCTTTCTATCATAAATTCAGTTTTTAAATAATATATAAAATGAGAAAAAACAAGTAAAATAAAAAAAAAAAATTAAGTCAATTTCCACTTAAGTCAACAAAGAAAAATTTTATTTCAGTTATTTTTTATTATAAATAATTACAATTAATATAAATATGTATATACATATGACAGATGCACAATATTAAGTAGAAAAATAGAAAACGGTTTTCCATTCTATATATATGGTTTGGGATTATTACTTTTGTTGGCTCTACTCTATTTATTCAATCATAAATCATATTCTCAGAATTTAGGCCATCCCAGGTAGGATTCGAACCCACGACCTTTTAACTAGAAGTCCAACGCGCAATCTATTGCGCTACAGGGACATAACCAGCGGCTTTCCATTTTATGTATGGTTTTGGACTATTATTTTTGTTTGTTACTATTTATTCATTAATTCAATTGAATTATTGAAAAAACTGTATTAACATCAAGTGTTATCCACTACAAGTTTAAAAAAAATGTATTTGAATTTGAGTGGATGAATAAGAAGTTTTTTTTTATAACTATTGATTATTTGAACAAGATAAAAATATATTCGGAGATTTTGAACTATTTGTACGAATTTAAAAATCAAGTATATAGTGAATACGTTGCATACACGCATACTTTCTTTATAATAGATTGATTTTTAGCTTTTTCACGGTTCTAAAGAATAATTTGTTGTCGCTTTCCAAAAGTTCAAAACACATTTAATTTTACTCTACCGAAAGATTATTTCCACTTTCATAGACTGATTGAATTTGTAATAGAGCAAATAAAAGCGAATACTGAATCCGAACTTAGAATCCGATTCTAATCGTTTTCAATTTTTTGAATAAATTCCTCTAATTCCCTCCTTTTTTTTGAATAAACTCCTCAAGCCACATTTTTTTACTCTTTGCTTGGGAAACGAAAAAATATCTTTTTATTTGCTTCGCTCCGAATCTCAAATTTGTTTTTCATATCATTTAAGCATCTAATCTTTGCACGCGCTTTTCCTTTGATCTTTCAAAATGTTAGATTTAAATTTATTCCCATCGAAAAAATTAGTTAATTTTTTTTAAAAAAATTACTCAAAAACATCAAAGTAATGCTTATTAGCTATAAAATTCATGGTCTGTATTTTATTTGGATTGTTTAACAAACACTCAACATGTCGATTGAATTTCATATTTACTTTCTAAATATTTCGAGTGCGACTTTTAATTTGCTTCTGTGGTGATATTAATATGTATTAATGTTTCTTACCATGTTTGAAAAATGTAATAGATGAGTGTTTTTCTTCCATTATTTCATTTTATTTCTTAGCTATTTTCTGCGGTATAACTTTAAATGGAACTTAATATAACAATTCGATTTTAAGTAAACGATAACCCAAGTTTAAATGTAATTTTCTTCATAACAGAATAAATTACGTTTAATTATAAAAGAATTTAGAGAGAGAGAGAGAGTTATACTTAATTTTTTTCTAAATTATTTTGTCTTATCGTAATAATTGAATTCTTGATACATAGTTGATAAAAATATTTTTAGTTTTGAAATTTTTTCTCAATAAATGTGACAGTGCATTTTCATTTGAAAGATTTTAACTTTTCTAATAAAATAAATATATGAAAGTTGCATATAAAAGCTTTTGAGTCTGATATATCTATGTAAAAGTATTTAATGACTCGTTGAAGATACTTTTAAATCAACCAAAATTTATTGTATGTTAAAAGCTGAAAAAACCCCGGGCTGGACAAGGCTAACTCAGATTTTCATCCCTTCAGTAGGTTGATAAATAAGTACCAAGCTTGCTTGGGAACTTAACACTGGGGGTTTCGCATCAGACTGACCACCTGACCGGAACATCTGCTTATTGTATGTTAAAAGCTGAAAAAAAAACAGGCTGGGCAAAGTTAAATCAGCCTTTTATTCCTTCAGTGGGTCGATAAATAAGTACCCAGCTTGCTTGGGAACTTAACACTGGGAATTTCGCGTCAGACTGACCACCTGACCGGAACCTCTGCTTATGCACCTCAAGGCCCAAGGTTACGTATACTGAGTTGGGCACAGTAGGCCTTGACCCTCATGGGCTGTTGCGCCACTGAGTTAAGTTAAAAGCTAAGAAACTTATTTATATTTTTAATGAATTATCTACAGCTGTATTGTGGTATCAAGAAAAAGTTTCTGATTTTCTACATATTTTTCCTGTAATAAACACATTAAGATGTCGGAATATTTAAGAAAATAAATGTTGGCGTGATCATTTAATGACATGACTCATAAAATCAGAATGGTAAGTAAAATTTTTTAAGCTGAGAAGAAAGCTCGGCTCTTAGACTGACTGAATTAAGTTTTATTATATCTATCTATATCTATACATATAAATAAAAATGAAGTGTCTGTTTGTAATTTGAAATTAACAGCTTTTTACGAAATGCATTTAAAGGTATATACGGTACTTATATGAAAAAATCAATTTTTAAAATTTTTTGTCTGTCTGTCTGTTTGTCCCGGCTAATCTCTCAAACGGCTGAACCAATTTTGACGAAACTTTCACTGGCAGATAGCTAATGTTATAAGAAATAATTTAGGCTACTTTTATTATAGAAAAAAAATAGGGTTCCGAGAAAATAAAATTAAAACCAATGAAATAGTGAGCAATATCCCAATAGCAAATAGGGATTATTTATTTCAATAGGGATTATTTTTATTCAATGGGGACTATTTTATTTCGCAAGCCTTCTGTCTCAACGATTTCTAGCAGTTATATCAAACTTTTCTGTTTGATTAGGTTGCTGCCACTCACAACATTTCCTGTTCATCTCCTTTGATACTAAAGATTTTACAGTCCTTAACTACTTTGTCAAAGGTCATGCGTCCCTTTCACCCC